TATTTCTGGGTTAAAAAATTGAAAAAAAGACGAATTTTGATGCAGATCGCACGAAAAAGGGGCGGAAAACGAAGAAAAACAAGAAAATACAAAACGTGAATTCGGAACCACCGGTCAACCACCACCACCACCACCGCGCGCTCCGCGCCACCATACACACCCATACAAAACCACTCTTTGTTTGTCTGTTTTTTCTCTTTTTTTTCTGTATTTTTTGTGATATATTTACATTAAAACAATTTAAAATTAATATTTAGTTTGCCTTTTTGATTCAATTCAATAAAAAAGCTGCATTTCCTTTCTATAGCCGCCGACGACAAGGTCACCCCTCTTATAAACCATCAGCACCATACAACACTCGCTAGCTGTTTTTTTGTTTTTTTTTTTATATTTCTTCTTTTTATTAAATTAATATTAAAATATTTATCGAATTTATGAAAATTCCAGCAGAAGTTTACCCCGAAACACCACGCCCATAGATATTTTGCAGCTTTTTTTTTTTTTGTTTTTTTTGTGGTTTTGTTGCTTGTTCTTCATCATCTTCTCTTTTTTATTCTTATTTCTCTTTTCTTTTTACTTCTTTTTTGTTGCTGTTGTTATTTTCCTTTACTTTCTCTCTCGTCATGCAAGAGAAGAATACAGAAAAACGGTTACATTGAGGTGTATGTACACCTCGTGAGCTGCAGCTGGTTGTTCTTTTTGTCTTTTTCTCCGCCTTTTCTCCCCCTTTGATCGCCCCAGCTCTACAAAAAGAAAATAAAAAGAGTTGCTGCAGCTGCGAGCTTACAGTTGCTGCAGCAGCAGGAGCGACAGCAGCATAAGGTAAGACTTGCAGCAGCAGCAGCAGCAGCAGCAGCAGCAGCAGCATCAGCAGTAAACTTAGTGCATCAGCAATATCCTCTTTTTGTCTCTGTCAAAGTATCGCATTCCCCTTTTAATTCTGGCGAACCAAACAGCAGCAGCAGCAGCAGCAGCAGCAGTACGAACAGCACCAGCAGCAGCACCACAATCACAACCAGCTGCAGCAGCAGCAGCAGCAGCAGCAGCAGCAGTAGCAGCAGCAGCAGCAGCAGCAGCAGCAGCAGCAGCAGNGCAGCAGCAGCAGCAGCAGCAGCAGTAGCAGCAGCAGCAGCAGCAGCAGCAGCAGCAGCAGCAGCAGCAGGTCGAACATGAGGATGCCTGGAGATATGGATGCATGCGCTGCTGTAGCGATTGCATCCGCTACAATAGAAGCAGCAGCAGCAGCAACAGTTGGTCCTGCAGCAGCAGCAGCAGCAGCAGCAAACTCAAATAAACGCTGGCCGGATGTGTTTGCTCCTTGTGCAGACAGCAACCAGCTGCTGCTGCTGCAGAAGCATCAGAAGCAGCAGCAGCAGCAGCAGCAAGAACCCGACTGGCAAGTGCGGCAGGCCCCGCGCATGCAACAGGCACTGCAGCAGCAGCAGCAGCAGCAGCACCAACCCTTGCTGCTGCTATCTCACATTGTACCCCAGGAGACCCAAGATGAAGCGGAGCAGCAGCAAGAGGAGGAGGAGCAGCAGCAGCAGGAGCAGCAGCAGCAGCAGCAGCTGCTGCTGCAGCAAGAACAGCAGCAGCAACAGCTGCAGGAACGCCAGCGTCTGCTTCGACAAGAGGAGGAGCAGCTGCTGCTGCATCACCAGCCGCTGCAGCAGCTGCAGCAGCTGCAGCAGCAACGCATGCTATGGGGTACAGGGAGAAGGAGAAGGTCTCACAAAAGGAGGCATCTGCTGCAGCACGGAGACAGTTTGCTGCTGCTGCAGCAGCAGCTGCATGCGCATGAGCAGCAGCAACACCCCGACCACATGCAGCAGCAGCAAGAGCAGCAGCAGCAGGAACAAGAACAGCTGCAGCAGCAGCAACTCCAGCAACAGCAGCTCGAGCAGCAGCAACTCCACGAGCAGCAGCAGCAGCAGCAGCAGCAGCAACAGCAGCAGCAGCAGCAACTCAACTGGCACAACGGCACTGTTTCTACGTGTGATGGAGACAGCAGCAAAAGTGAAACTGAGCTGCAGCAGCTGCTGCAGCAGCAACAGCAGCACCAGCTGCTGCTGCAGCAGCAGCATCATCTGCAGCATGACCAGCAGCATATGCCCTCTCAGCTAGAACTGCTCGAGCTGCAGCAGCAGCAGCAGCAACAGCAGCAGCAGCAGCAGCAGCATTTGTCTTACGAATATTATCAGCAGCAGCTGCAGCAATACGACGAGCTGGTGCGGCGGCTATCTAACTCGGAGCAGCAGCAGCAGCAGCAGCAGCAGCAGCAGCAGCATCTGCTGCAGCAAACGCCCCCCCCTGAAGAAGACCCGCAGAAGTTTAACTTTTCTGTGCAGCAGCAGCTGCTGCAGCAGCAGCAGCAGCTACAGCTGCAGCACCAGCTGCTGCTGCAGCAGCAGCAGCAGCAGCAGGCAATGACCCCGCAACAGGCGCAGCTGCTGTGGCGGCAGCAGCAGCAGCTGCTGCAGGAGATGGATCCGCAGGAAGCGCAGCAGATGCTGCTGCAGCAGCAGCAGCATCAGCAGCAGCAGCAGGCACTGCTGCAGGAATTCTCCCAGCTGCCGCTTGAGGAGCAGCAGCAGCAGCAGCAGCAGCTGCAGAAGCAGCAGCAGCAGCAGATGCTGAATCATCCAATGCAGTGTCAGCATTTCTATCATCAGCAGCAGCTGCTGC